CACCTGATCTGGCCCCTAATGACTTCTTTCTTTACCCAAAGATAAAGGAAATATTGAAAGGAAGACATTTTGATGACATTCAGGACATCAAGGATAGTACCACAACAGCTCTGATGGCATTCCAGAAAAAGAGTTCCAAAATTGAAAGGACTACGTGCTGGCATTGGTGCATAGCTTTCCAAGGAGAGTACTTCAAAGGTGACCATAGTGATATTCAGCAATGAGGTATGTAGCACTTTTTCTAGGGTGAGTTCGTGAACTTAATTGTCAGAGCGTATGTGTGTGTGTGTGTGTGTGTGTGTGTGTGTGTGTGTAAAATACCATATACCCTTTTTTCTCCCCTGTATGAAACTGTGGGGCTTTGTTAGGAATAATCCACTCTTCCCTTTTTCTACTCTGAATGTGATTTAAGTAAAGACATGGGTAATAATCTTCTTGCTTAATATTGATGTGTATCAACATGTTAAAGGAATAATAAATTCTGGTAGAAATCAGAGTAAAGCGAACCATAACCTATTTACTCAGACTCTATAACCATATATTCACTCATTCTTGATTTGTTCTACAAATACATGGAGTACCTTTTGTATGCCAGTCAATGGCTGGAGATACAACCAAATATGGACTGGAAAGCCCCCCACCCCATCTCCTGAAAGTCTTACTCTACTGCGTTTATAGACAGATAAACAACTACAGTGCTGTCTGACAAATGTGTAAATATGATAAGTGATGAGGAAATATAGGAAGGGATCCCCAACTCAGAGGGAGAGGTAGGACTCAGACCTGAAGAATGAGTAAGAATTCACCAGGCAAAGAGGAGGGAAAGTGTCTTACAAACAAAGAGAAGGAGATTAGGACAAAGTGTTTGGTAATATCCCGATAGTNATCTCTCTCATCAGACAAGAGAAAGCCAAAGCCAGTATTCAGAATGGAAAACTGAACTAGAAGTGGGCTCTTGATAAGCATACTTCATGACTACCTGCTTTATATCTACCGATAGGATGAATTCTTGGCATGTTCTTGTGTTTCTTTGTTAATTATGCTTGTTTTCCAGGGTTTCTGTGTCTTCTTTTTGTTAACCTTTCGAAAAGAGAAACAAAGATTTCATTTTTTATCCCAAGATTTGTTTTCCAATTTTCTGCTGCATTATACGCATGGATAAAATCTTGAAGGTTTAAATTAAAAGTTATAAATATAGTGGGGAATCTTTTCAGAAATCTATTAGCCTGCATCAGTATTTTTTTTCTGTGGAAAGATGACTATGCCAGTTTGGCACACTTTGTTTTATGTCACCAATTTTGCTGAAAGAATGGGAACTACTTTCAAATCTGTAAATAGCTCTTAACATTTTGTTGTACTGCACTCATTTCTTATGGCTGTCATTGCCTGGGTTGGGTTTAATTTCTAAATTGTTGAAATGTTCTAAGGCTATTAAAAGTGATGTATTTTGCACTTAGATGTGCATTATCTATTAATGATGAAGCATTTTACTTACTTTGGGCATATTTAATTAGTTCAGTCATGGAAAATACTTTCTGCATTTTTAGATTTTTTTCAAACATCATTTTATTATTTCTGTCTTTAGCATTTTATCAAATTATTGCCTTTTTATTTGATAGTATGGCTCAAGACAGATCTTATAGAGCTCCTTAACAGATGAATTCCTCCTAAAAATGCATGTTATAGATGATTATTAAGGCTAATAGGAGGAATCAATTAAGAAAAAGCTGTAACACTGCTATCTCTCTCTGTTTCCCTTGCTATTTTTCTATGAAAAATATATTATTTCTATTTGCAAAACATGCCCTGAGTTCAAAACCCAACATCATCAGTACCAAAGTCTTATGTAATATGTATTTGTCATACTCCTAAGGTAGGTCTCTTCTTGATGAGACTAAAACTACAAAAAACAAAACAAAACCCATCAGTATTCATATTTTACTCAGAGTTTACACCCATGCTTGCTTAGTCAACATTTTGAGTGCTTGANTTATTAAAAATGCAAAGCCAGAAGGAAAACGTCTACACTGCAATGTCCATTCCTTTCATGACTCTCCAATCATTAATCTCAATTCTTAAATATCCTTATCCTGGATGTAATCAAATGTTTACATTTTCTAGCATCACCTGGGCTCCAGGGACCTGCTGGAAAACCATTCAACCCTGTGTAATTGGAGCCATCACAAATACATGATTAAAGAACCTGTAGGTACCAGGCACTGTGCAAGGCAGAGGGTATAAACAGTGAACAAAACTGTCAGGGTCCTTGCCCTTGGGAACTGGAAGGGAGTAGAGGTAAAGAACAGGAAAGCATATAGTATGTGAAGTGACTCTGTAGGGTGTGTCTTTCCTCTTTGATCGCAGATCTAGCATAGTGTTCACATATAGTAAGTCACTCAATCAAAAACCATTTAGTCAGTACTTGCTGTGGGCCAGGCTCTATTTTAATTTTTAATTTAATTTAATTTAATTTAATTTTTTTAATTGGGGAATTGGGGGAGGGGAACAGTGTTGGGGAATTGGGGAAGGGGACCAGCCAAGTTGTTTTTCTTCAATCTTAGTTGTGGAGGGCGCCTGTCACCATCTGGCTGCCCATCGGCAGCTTGTGGCCTCTAAGCTCAAGGTGCTGTGTTCAATCTTAGCTGCGGGTGGGTGTAGCCACCATCCCATGTGGGAGTCGAACCAGCAGCCTTGTTGTTAACAGCTTATGCTCTATCCACTGAGCCATCGGGGTGTCAGCTCAGCTCAAGTTGCAGAGTTCAGTCTTAGTGTGGATGGGTGTAGCCCACCATCGAATAGGCAGTCTCACGTGCTCTCACCAGCTGGGCCATCCTGCCATCTGGCCCATGTAGAAATTGAACCGGCAGCCCTGTTGCTCAGAGCTCACGCTCTTAAGCTAACTCTTAATCAACTGAGCCACTCGGCCAGCCTCAGGCTCTGTTTTAGGCTCTGGAAATACATCGGTGAACAAGGCAGATAAGGAAGGCTCTGCCCTCTTAGAACTTATATTGTAGCAGTTGTAGAATGGCAAGTAAACAGGTCTTCAAAAGAGAAATAAATATACATGGTAATTTCAGATAGTGATAAGTGCTATGAAAGAAAGAAAGGACAGTGCAGGGTGGGGGGCATTTTAGAAAGGCCACTTTGCGGAGATGACCGTTGCGCTAAGACCAGGTGGAACCTACAAGTATTGTGAAGAGCTTTCTAGGCAGAGGAAACAGCAAGTGCAAAGTCCCTGGAGTGGGGATATTTTGGTGTGTTCAATGAAAATGAAGCCCAGCATGACTTGGAGCATGATTAGTGAGGGTGGGGAGAGATAAGGTGTGGTTGGGGAGGGAAGCAGGCTTCAGATCACCCCGGGCCTTTAGGCCATTGTAAGGTGTTTGGCTTTATGCTTAGAATAAGCAATCCAGGTGAGAAATGATGGAGGAATAAATGCAGGCTTGCAAGCATTGTGGAAACATTTTATGTGGTGACTCAGTACATAAACACATGTTCATAAACAAAAATTTCATGGGACAATACCTGTACATACCATGAGAGATGCACTCTTGAGCTGTTCTATTCGTGTTTACTGTAAAAGAACAAATAGTGGTTGTTACCATTTAACTGATTTCATAACTCAACCAATGGGTTGCAACTCACAGTTTGTAAAATGCTTGTTCAGACTAAAGTGCTGATGGTAGAGATGGAGAGAAATGAACAGATTCGGGGTATATTTTAGAAGTAGAGTTGACAGTGGTTGTTGATGAATTTGTGAGTAGGTAAGGGAAAAAGCCAGNATGAAATTGAAAAGTCCATATAATTGTTGACATAATCAGTTATACTTCATAGAACACTATGTATTTATATGTTTTGGATTCCATAAGAAGCAAACTCATATAATTTTATCAGAAATGTGTCAGAGCGTTTCTTAACAGGTAAGAACCAGTACAGCAGTGAGACCCCCTCCTGTGTGGAGAAGCCTGGGGTGCACACACACCTTCCTAGCCATAACCACAGCTGGTTGACAACAGACACACGAAAGCTACTGAGACAGAGTCCTGATTCAAATTACATGTGATATGTGTTAGAACAATGAAAAGCCAGCAGGACCTTGTGTTGGAGGAGACACCATGACTGATTTTCCCTTAAAAGCCATGATGCTACCCCCTCAATGTAGAAGTTATCCCTCTGAATCCTTCCAACCTTTCCATCTCTTCCTCCTAATACCCTGAACCCTTCTTCAATACCTCCCTCCCTTATGCCATCACCTTTCTATGTCAATTTTTGAGGCCTCCTCATACCTATAAGCTTCCCCGTCTGTTGTGGCAAATTTAAAAGTTTACAAGTAGGTTCTTTCATGGAAAAAAAGCATTGAAGTAAGTTTAAATAGCTATCAAACCATAATTTAGTAAGAGGCTTCAGGAAGCCATTTAGCATTTAATAATACTTGTTTACAACATGAAACAAAGCTAATAATGCTATAGTTTTATTGAGAAACACCTGCAGTTTTTCTTTTCTCTTAAACTGGTTTAACAATAAGAACTTTATAACATGTTTCATCTGGGGATTCACTGTAGCTGTATAAGTTATCTAAATGTTTTTGCTTAGAACCCATGACAGGAAGAGGAGGAACTGAGGTGGCTGTATGTTATGAGGATGTTACAAGGAGCGGGTGCGGGTAGCGTTATTGGGCCCTGCTCTTTAATCAAGCCAACTTAGTTATGGTCACATTTCTTTTAAAAACAAGCTTGCCAGCAAATGGCTTATTCAGGGTGTTTTCTGAAGTACAACACCTGTGGACTTGAGCCCTAGGCCTTTCTAGCCCAGACCTCAAACTGCCTCTACTAACTTTGATAGTAGATCATACCTTTATTGGAAGGTACTTTGGATAGTAGGGAAGACCTGAAGGCAGCTGCTAAAGATTGGTGTGTTTTCATTGAAAATGTTTATACTGATTTCCTCTAAGGAGTAGACAGTTTTGATACCAGGCCCTATATTTAAGACTAAAACCAATGAAACATATTTCTAAACCTTAAAAAAAGAAATATAATACCTCTGGATAAAAACTTGTTAATATCATCCATATATTTATTTTTTTATATCTTTATATAATTTTTTCTGTAATTAAATGTGCATTAAGGTGTTTGCTACTTCATGGTTAATGAAACCCAAAAATAACTGTAAATAAAATATGCTATATATGTTCATTTCTTGGTTGGTTGGCTTCTAGTATGCTTATGTCTACTTTCAAGAAATTATTTCACGGACAATATTCTGTTACTAATTTGTAACTAGGATGAGTTACAAGATTTTTCAGTAATTATCAGAATTTATAATAACTTTCAGACATAGATTTAATTTGAAAAAGTTACTTGAAAACTGCAGTAAATGCAATAGCTAGAGTGAGATATACACAATGTTTTTTCCTGAGAATATATAACATTAATATTTAATTGTCATAAAGATTTTGGAAGGCTTTCAAAGTATACTTAACATTTTGAGAACATGCTTTCTAATTTATTTCCAGAAGGCTGAAGATTTTTTTTTTCTTTACAAAATGTGAGCCTTGGTAGTTTACAAATCAGCGTTACTCAGATTTATTAACAATTAAAATAGCACTTTAGTATTCTTTATTTTGGTTTCTGGTTGTGCTTTATGTGGAGGGATTAATAAATATCTTTAAGTAATTCCCTTAATATTTTGAAATGTTATATACTTTATTTGTATGTGTGCCATTTTAAAGTATATGCAAGTTCTAAGCAATAATCTGCATGTTATACAAGATTGGCATTACTTTGACAAGAGTTTAATTTAATATTAGGAATGTGTATAAATTAAATATCCTATATATAAATCACCCCTCCCCCCAATGACAACCTTGGGATTTTCTTGTTTTAGGACATGCATGTGATGCAAAACTTTGTATTTTGTGAAAAAAAAAAATAAAGTCACAATTATTTAGTGCAAAAATTTGAGTCTGCAAGGTGTACCCTTGAATAGTAATTAATGAATAGATTGATGACAAAAATTACTTTGCTCAAATCAGATCACGTCCATAGCACCTGAATCCTAAAGTTAATATTTACCCTTCAAGATGCTTTGGAGCTTGTTTG